GACAGCACCTGGCCAATTGACTAAAAGAGGTCTATATTTCTTCCCATTCTAAAGAAAGATGATTCAACAAAATATGGAAATTATTGATCAGTATCATCAATGTCACTTGCACATGATTTGAGCAGTACATGGAAGGAACTGCCAGAAATTCAAATTAGATTCAGAAGAGGACGTGGAATGAGGGACAGTACAATTGTTGATGTCAGATAGATCTTGGCTGAAGGTAAAGAATCCCAGAAAGATATTTACCAGTGTTTTATTGACTATGAAAAAAAAAAAAAAAAAACCCACACTCACTGTCGTTGAATTGGTTCCAACTCATAGCGATGGCTCCTTGGGTTTCCAAGGTGGTATCTCTATGATTGCCTCCCCAGTCTTCTTTTTGAGAAGTCTCTGGTGGGTTTGAACTGCCAGCCTTCTGGTTAGCCGTCAAATGCCTTAGCCCCTATGCCATAAGACCTCCTTATTGACTATGAAAAGTTACTTAGTTGTATGGATCATAACAAGTTATGGATAACATTGCATAGAATAGAAATTCTGGAACAATTAATTGTGTTCATGAGGAACTTGTACATAGACCAAAAGGTGATTGAACAGAACAAGGGGGTACTCCATGGTTTAATATCAGGAAAGTATGTGTCTGGACTATATCCTTTCACTGTACATATTCAGTCTGTACACTGAGCAAATAATCTGAGAAACTGCAGAACACTGCATAAGGTTTGGAGGAAGACTCATTGATAATCTTTGATATGCAGATAATACAACCTTGTTTCCTAAAAGTGAAGAAGTATAATGGAGATCAAAGACTACAACTTTCAGTATAGATTACACCTCAACATAAAAAAATCTCACATCTGGACCAATAAGCAACATCATGAGAAATGGAGGAAAGATTGCAGTTAAGGATTTCATTTTAATTAGATTTATAGTCAATGCCCATGGAAGCAGCATTCAAGAAATCATCCACTGTGTTGCATTGGGGAAATCTGCAAAAAACCTCTTTAAAAGAGTGAAAGAACAAAGATGCAACTTTGAAGACTAATGTGCACCTGAAGCGGTATTTTCAGTAGCCTCATACACATGTGAAAGTTAGACAATGAATAAGGAAGCCTGCCAAAGAATTGATGCATTTGAATCATGGTGTTGGCAAAGAATATTGAATGCACCATGGACTGCTAGAAGAATGAACAAATTTGTGTTAGAAGAAGTACAGCTGGAATGCTCCTTAGAAGTGAGAATGGACAGACTTCATCACTCATGCTTTGTTCATATTGTCAGAAGGGACCACAGTATCCTGGAGAAGCATATTATTTGGTAAAGTAGAAGGGCAGCAAAAAAGGGAAAAAATACTGAAGAAAATGGATTGTAGTTATCGGGCTGAAGTATGGCAATGATGGTGAGGCTGAGGCGGACTGTAGGCAGTGTTTTGTTCTGTTGTACACAGGGTCACTAAGAGTCAAATCCGACTTGATGGCACCTAGCAACAACAACTGGCAGCCCCAAACTCTGTTCTCTGATTTCTCAAACCAAAAGCATTGTGGATTTCTATTTGAGTTGTAGCTGCCCATGCTGTGTAGACAGGACACTGTTCTTTGGG